TGGGATTAGGTTTGGGAAGTCCGGGGGTGGGGGGTGGGGGGTAGGGTTTTTACATTGTGATGTATTTGTGATGTGTTTTTCTTTTATGACGAAAATAAGAAATAATCAAAAAAATACTAGAATGTGCAGAGATGGGCAGACTAACTATGAGACTGAAAGAAAAAGAAGAAACAGAATATTATCAAACTTGGGATTTTATTGATAGCTAGAGGAAAGAATAAAGGATTAGGAATTAAATATGTATTCGCGAATGTAAACTCAGACAGCACGTTGGTTGAAAAATTATTATTGTATGTATGGAAAAAAATTAATAAAACCTTTTACAAAAAAAAACAAAAATAAAAAAGCCATCTGCAGGCTGAATTCACACTCTTTGGGCAAGAGTTCAGCAGAGTTCAGATGCAAAATTTAAAACTTCTTTATGTTCCAGATTGCCTGGGCCTTTGGGACTGTAAGTATTTACTGTCTCTGCTTAAATAATTGATTGCATATGTACACAACGCAGTATGAAATACTTTCCTGCAGACTCAAGCAGAAACTAACCTGCTATTAAACTGGATTAGATTCTCTAATACAATTTAAAAAAAATAAGAAAACCTTGTAGTTTCCAATACCATTAAAAAGCAACGTTTGAGCCACATATATGTGCATATATGTACATAGGAGCATATGTTACATGGAAGGGTAATTCAGATTTTTTTTGGCTTAAGCATCATCAAAATGTCTTGGATCACATCTGGCAATCTGTTCAAAAACACACATTGCAGGAAAGATTAAACATCTTGAAGGAATTTAGCTTACAGCTGGACCCTTTACCTATTTCGGCTAGAGTTTCTGTTCCTACTTCTCGTTTTTGGGGTCCTTAAAACCAAGGAAGCATATGGGAAAGATGTGAAGGATTTTCCAGGCAGGACAAATAAGAATATGTGGCTTTCATTACGGAAAATAAAAGATTGCCTTGGAATCTAAAACAAGAAAAGCAGAAGTCTGGCAATTGTTATCTGGCAAATGTCTAATGAGGGGCAGATTGCAAATTTCTGCCATCTCCTCCATACTGTTAGCTAGCAACTGAAAGAAATCTGTGCATGAAGAGACCCTGATAGAACATGATGAATGGATATCAACACGTCCATGTATGTGGAAAGTCTTCTCAGTATGATGGATGAACATGAAGGTGTACGTGGAAACTCTTCTTAGTTCCAATCCAATAAAAAACTCCCTTTTAATGACCCTGTAATCCCTTAATTTGTCATAGAGTCATGGCAACTGGATGGAGCTGAGCATTGACTGGCCAGATGCCCTTCTTGACACCTACATGGAGTTCGTAGCAGATATGTTTTCTGTGCACCCTAAGACAGAAATACCTGCTGCTGCCTAGGATTGTAACTCTTCGCCTTCCGAGTAGGAGGCGAGTATCTTTACCACTAGGCCACCACGCCACTCCTTAGTTCCAGTTCAATATGGTTATTTATTGATTTTATTTATTTATTTGTTAAATTTTATTTGCTGCCTATCTCGGTGTGGGATTACTCTAGGTCTCTTACAACAACAAAAATGAAGAAAAATGACAGGAGTGCAAGTAGAACAGAGGAAAAATAATAGAACAATAAAATAAACAATGAAAAAGAAACTAATGAAGGAGAGAAGCAACCTAGAACTAAGGAGAAACTTCCTGACAGTGAGAACAATTAACCAGTGGAACAACCTGCCTCCAGAAGCGGTGAATGATCCAACACTGGAAGTTTTTAAGAAGAGACTGGACAGCCATTTGTCTGAAATGGTGTAGGGTTTCCTGCCTGAGCAGGGGGTTGGACTAGATGACTTCCAAGGTCCCTTCCAACTTTATTATTATTATTAAGAACACAACAAAAATATCAATATGATAACAAAAAAAAATGGGTGGATAGAGAGCAGAGAAAAAGGGTGGGGGAGGAGGAGATGGAGTCTGCCATCAATCTAATAGCCACCTCCCATGAGGAATTTCCCCCCACCCCAGGCCAATTGGCAGAGCCAAGTTTTCAGGCTCTTGGGAAGGATAGGACATTGGGGGCAGCTCTTCCCTAGAGCATAATAGCAATAAGACTTATATACTGCTTCACAGTACTTAACAGCCGTCTCTAAGTGGTTTACAGAGTCAGCATATTGCCAACAACAATCTGGGTCATCATTTTACTGACCTCGGAAGGATGGAAGGCTGAGTCAATCTTGAGCCGGTCAGAATCGAACTGTCGAACTGCAGGCAGCCAGCAGGCAGCACAAGTAGCCTGCAATACTGCATTCTAACCACTGTGTCACCACGGCTTATAAGATGTTCCAAAGGCTCTTCTTCTGGATCCCAATAGTCATTGTTCTTTGACTGATGGGATCCAAAGTAGGCCTTCTTTGCAGCCACAAATAGGAGGGGCTTGTCCTAGTTACAATGGAAGTATGGCTAGTTCACACATTAATAGAAAAGAACCTTCCAAACTTCCAAAGTGTCAGAGATGACCAGGCTGAGTCCAAAGGAGGGGTCAAAGGTGTCATCAGTCATGAATCCCTTCATGCCCACAAGAGATCTAAGTCCAGCCCTCTTTGAATTCCACTGACTATTATCTACCACCAATTTACTCGGGCCATTAGTAGTTCAGATTCTTGTAGAGAGCTTAAGCTTCCAATAAACCTTTACACCCGTTTGAACTGCCCGGATCTCCCGATTTCCCTGGTGCTTGACACAATATATATTCAGAGGTTTCATAATCTGCATTATGTGAGGTACAGTCAACCACAGATTTGTCACTTGATGTAAAGTTAGAGATGAGTGTGGGAAAAGAACTATTAAGAAGGGATTTGAAGAAAAGATTACCCAGTCCTGAGATAGAATGGAAGGGTGAAAAAGAAAGATAATCTCCACCCCAACCCCTTGGTTTTGTTTGGTCTATAATTGGAAAGAGAGAAAATTGCACAGGCTTTCAAGAATCTGTTACAATACCCTGCAGCAGTAATGGAGAATCTAAGACATTCATGTCAAAGGAGACCTGCCACAATGTTTTAGGTGACATGTCAGCATTCACCAACATCCAACAACAACTATTTGCAAAAGCAAGCCCCATTCTGCTGTGATTTTCGGAGCCTGCACGAGAATGGGGCGTGCTCTTGCAGGCTCTTTGGAACCTCTAAACATTTTCAAGAACAGGCATGTTTTCATATAATTTTGGGAGGGTGCAGAAGGTATGAAAAAGCATTCTCCAAAGCCACTTCAAGCTCAAAGGCCTCGTGCAACCTGGAGCACAGAGCAAATTCTGGGAACCACATTCAAGATTGGAGTATATATTTTTAAATAAATGAATATAGAAAGAATTGTTTCTCTTTTGTTCAGGGTGTTTGTGTGTGTGTGTCACATTTCAGCAAAATCAAGTTTGGCGTTTTCTGAACTTTTGACCCGTCAAGCACAAATTATTTGCCATCATTATACTATACTATACTATACTATACTATACTATACTATACTATACTATACTATACTATACTATACTATACTATACTATACTATACTATACTATACTACACTACACTACACTACACTACACTACACTACACTACACTACACTACACTATTACTCTACTCTACTATTACTATTACTATACCTATACCTATACCTATACCTATACCTATACCTATACCTATACCTATACCTATACCTATACCTATACACTACACTACACTACACTGCACTGCACTATGCTATACTATAGCAATAAAGTAACATTTCCGGAATCATGTCTGTATTTTAACCTGACATCCCTCTTATATCTAGAAGCATTAGATATTTGTTTGTTCAATTTCTATAGCCGCCCATCTCAGTCAATGACTTGAGCCGCTTATAATTCAAAAAAATTATTACAATTACAATACTAAAAACATTTTAAAACAATAAAAGATAATAGAGACATCCAAAATAAATATACATATCAGCCAAAGTACTTGTTCAGTTAGCAATTCAGCCAGAAAACAGAGCCCTTAACACATTCAGTGCCCCCGACACAGGAACATAGCCAGATTTTTAGAGCCTTAGGAAAGGCTAAGAGGATTGGGGCCATTCTGATCTTTGAATTTATTTATTTATCCTTCTTCCTCCCACAGAAGCCTCTCTGGAATTCCTCCCTAGTATCATCTCAATAATCTCTAACATGCTGCGTCTTATGCCATTTACAGATGCATCCATCATAAGACTGAACCCCATTATTCATATAGGGCCCAAACTCAGTACTCACAAGATTTCTGGTACCAGCCGAAGGGATGCACCCTGGCCTCAGTTTCCAGAGACGTACAAGGAGAAATCTGCCAATCGCTTCTTAATTCGTCGCTGCAGGTTTGAATTCCCAAACTGCCCAGAGTCAAACACAAAATCTTGCTGTCTGAAATAAGAAAACAGTGGGGGTTGCCATTGTTTTTTCTACAAATCTCTACAGGGGCTTGGCACTTTTAAATAATCCATCCACAAATGTATCACTGAAGAAATAAAGATGTGAGGGTGAAGGTTCGTTTTCCAAGCTTGTAGGTTGGTTTCCGAACATTTCGTTACCAGGCTGGGTAACATCTTCAGCAGAGTTTAGGAGATGTCAGTGACTCACTTCACACACCCACACCTGAAGCCCTCATAAACAGAAGAACACTGACACTGACATCCCTTAAATTAGTGATGGCGAACCTATGGCACGCATGCCAGAGGCGGCACTCAGAGCCCCCTCTGTGGGCACGCGCACCATCGCCCCAGCCCCGCCTCCCCCCACAGCCCCCTCCTCACCAGCAGCCCCCTCTGAAGAGAGTCACCCCCGAGCATGGCGCACGCGGAGCAGTGCAGCCAAGGACATGGCAGCCAGGCAGCAGGGACATGACTCCGCCCTTGCGCCCTGTCACACACAGTTGATGCTGCGGGGCACAGGTGGAAGGCATGGCTGCCATAGTGCTGCTGGGCCACCTGGGTGATCTGCAGCAGGCTGTAGAGGCAGTGGGTGGCCCTGCAGCCAGGGGCGGAGTGGGGGCAGAGCAGGGGCAGAGCAGGGGCGGGTAGGGGTGGCCGGGAGGGGCCGGTTTGGGGGCACTCGGTCTCTAAAAGGTTCACCATCACTGCCCTAAATTCTGCCTAGCCAGATAACGAAACATTCAGAAACCAACCCACAAGCTCGGAGAACAAACCTCCACCCCCATCCTCCACCCGAGCTACAGATATTCGCCACTATTGCAAATAAAAACATTCTAGTTGATAGTGGGATAACCTACTGGCTGTCATAAAATTAGCCAGTTTGGAATAACCAACATGCTTTAGCAAAAATGTCGTGAAACAGAACTGTGTGAACGCAGGACGCTACACGCAGCCGTAAATGCAGGCCGGTTGCCAAGAGTCCGATAGACGGTCATGTGACTATGAAAGGACCATCATGAGAAGTTCTGAACTGGGTCATAAGTACTTTTCGGGTGGTGCGTTATAACTGCAGGCTTATCATAAGCCGAGAACTACCTGTAGGTGGTGGATGGGACCACAATTCAGCTCCAAATTTCTGTTGCTAACCAGAACAGTTCTTAAGTGACTTTTGTCCCCTTTTACAACATTTCTTGCCACAGCTGTTGAGGGAACCGCTGCAGTTGTCATGCTAGGAACATGGTTGTTAAGTGAATCTGGCTTCCCCATTGATCTTGCTTATCAGAAGGTCATCAAAACTGATCACGTGACCTTGGGGCACTGCAACCATCCTAAATATGAACTGTCTTGCCAAGGGTCTGAATTTTGATTGCCTGATCGTGGGGATGCTTCAAAGGTCGTAACTGTGAAAAACGGTCATAAGTCACTTTTTTTTCAGTGCCATTGTAACTTTGACCGGCCACTAAATGAATGATTGTAAGTCGAGACTACCTGTATATATTTGTTCTCTGTTCATGTTCAAAGTGCAGTGCTGACCAGAAAGAAATAATAACCAGCAACAGAAGCAGGATATACAGTGCAGGATATATAGTGGTGGACAAAATTGTGGAAACCTTTTGGGAAAAGTGTATTTTTGAGGTCTGAGGGCTAATAACACCACTTTTTTTGGGGGGGGGAGTAGTACCATAAAATTATATATCAATGGAAAGATAATTTAATCAAGAATGTAATGCAACAAAGTTTGTTCAATTATCTGTACTGTATTCTATGAAAAGTTATAGCCAAATAACCAGAAAAAGGAAGGACCACTTGCTTAAGTTGATCTCAGGTAGCTTTCCTTCATCTGATTGTAGCCAATGAGCATGAGTGTTTAGAGAGCCAATCAGGTGTCATCTTGTTTTGGCAATGAGCCAATCAGATCACCGTAGGATTCAGTGATCGATGTCACGTATTGAAGCCGAGAGGAGGACATTTGTCAGTGTGTTATGTGATCGCTATCAAGTTGGTTGGGTTTTTTTTGTGTTCTTTCATTTAGCGAGCTTGTAAAACGTAATAAAATTAAAGTAATGGTGCAAAGAGTTGACTGGTCACCCAGGAAGCGATGTAAAATAGTATTATTAAGTCAACAAGGCTACAGTTATAAAGAAATTAGAAAAAAAATGGGTGGAAACTTAACCAAAGGTGGCATTTCTACTGTACACTTTTCCCAAAAGGTTTCCACGGTTTTGGCCATTACTGTAAACCGCTGGCTATAGAACTAGTTCCAGGATCAGCACGAAGACCCTGATCATTCACAGACCTCAGCACTTTCCGTGGAAGCTTTTCTACGGTGCCTGATTTTGGCTGCAGGTTCTTAGAAAAATAAATCTACTTTCCCCATTTCCTTTCTACTCCAGAGTCATTACCGCATTACCGGGCACCTGGCTCAAACAAGCACACAGGAGTTAGTTTATACACTGTGAACCACAATGAAATAGGTTCCAGATTACCTAGGGGAAAAGATTTTTTTTTCCAAGGTTTATAACGAATTAAAACAAAAATACCTGTGTCTTGGGAAGCATTTAGAAGTCCAAAACCCGAGCAACAAGGATCAGCATCACAAAGCCGTTCACAGTCAAAAAAACTGAATGGAAAAAAAAGAAAGAAAGAAAGAGGGAATTTGGAAAACAAAAGAAAATGAATACATTTTGCGCCTTAATTCCTGAGACGACAACCAGAGGCCCCTATTCTTTACTAAGAGGGATAAATGACCTTTGGAGCTTAGTAATCTGATTGAAACTTGCATCCCAAACCAGGAGCAAATTCATATTAAGGCTACTGGGATTCTTTTTTTTTTTAAACCATCTCTAAAGCAGAGGTTAATAATTTTCTTAAGTTATAGGAGAGAGAGCAGATGTCTACAGCAAAATTTAAATGAACAACTAGGACCCAGCAATGTCACAGAAGGACTTTATTAACTTGTTCGAAATGCGTTCTTGTTTCTTTTATATATTGTTATAACCTGCCCAAGGTGGCTCAGCGGCTTAATGACATTGGAGATGGCCTCTGCTCCAGAGGTTCGAGTCCTAGCACTGCATGGTGGGGTGAGCTCCCGTCACTCGCCTCAGCTTCTGTCCACCTAACTGTTCAAAAGCATATTCTATGCAAGTAGATAAATAGGTGCCACTTCGGTGGAGAGATAAGCTGGTGCTCTGTGCAGGCAGGCAGAATCCTGCCGGCTCTGACTTTCTTGGCTGTGGTGCCTATTTGCGAGGTGGCTCCAGGTGGGAGGAAGCCTTGGATGAGGCTGCAGGAAGAGCCACTCGTCTCTCTTTCTGGTGTGAAGCCAGCTCGCCCTCTTGGGGGGGCACCCTGGGAAGCGCGAGAGCATTTCCTACAGTGGAGCTGTTATCTTGGTAGCCAAACTACCGCTTTGCAATAGGTCTCTTGGTTAATGTAACAACGCCATACACTAATAATAATACCTGTGCAAGGTGGGTACTCATCTCCTTGGATGAGATAGATAGATAGATAGATAGATAGATAGATAGATAGATAGATAGATAGATAGATAGACAGACAGACAGACAGACAGACAGACAGACAGACAGACAGACAGACAGACAGACAGACAGACAGACAGACAGACA